TTACAGGAGATTGACTGGGCAGCAAGAACAGCCTGAATTGACCAAAACACCCACTGCAAAGTTCTGTATAATATATGTAACATACAGACACTCCTCTACTTACGAACGAGATAAATTCAGAACGGCCGTTCACAACTGTAAATGTTCTAAGTCATTATTCAGCATCATTTTAAGGATATACGCAAGTACAAAGAACTAGGATGCGGGGAGTATGCACGCTACGCTGCTGCGCGGCGGGAGTACCGGCCAGAAGTCATACTAGGCAGAACTGGCACGCAGAAAAAAAAAATGATGTTGCGGACAGGAAACGGGAGCCCAATTAACACAACTTGGACTTACAGTCCTCTTCGTTCGTATGTCTGAAAGTTCGTAAGTTGAAAGTTCATAAGAAGAGAAGCGTCTGTATATATGCAATATGTTTGCTCAGGAAAAAAAACACATTTTAACAGTATTACATGGTCAAATTAAGAGTAACACAATAAAATCTAGCAGGATTTTCTTCTCTTCTCCAAAAAGTTACTGATATCTTGTTGGATGGCTAAACACCACTTAAGTACCCAAAACTCTCCTCAGGGGCACCCAGCTGTTCCATGTATTTGTTGTATTCAACTCAATTAAAAGGTTCTTTTCTGCTCAATTTTTCTGAAAAATCTGAAATAGTATCATGCCATAAGATTCATGCAGCTTATTTGATATTTCAGTCATGTGAAATCTTCCAAAAGTTCCAAAATAAAAATTATTTTTTGTACAGAACTTGTTAGTCAACAAAACATATCATTTGCTACATACATGAAGTATTGTGCATAATCTGCATTAAAACTTACACCCTCAAAAATGTATCAACAGATTTTATTTTTTTGAGAACTATGAGAAACTACATATTCTGTACTCCACTTCTGGAAGTTTCCATACACAACTTAAGCACTGGTTTCACATTTATTTAAATAATAAAACTGTATTTTTAGCACTTGGAAAAAAATATGTCAGAAAGCTCGTAGGCTTAAAATCTTAATAATATAATTTATATATTACTTAGTCTTCTACCAATCCTGGGAAACCAGGAAACAGAGCTTCCATTTTTCGATCTTAAACTTACCTGGGCATCTGCCGAGGGTTTGAACGTCAATCCGCTCCTGCTTCAAGCAGGATGCCTCTCGCACCAAGCAGGGGTTGTCGTATGAATTCCCATCGGTCCCGCACACAGGGTTCTCATTGTGACCACTGCAGTCGATGTTGCAAATGCACCTGAGGCAACAAGAGAAGTGTCCAACTTGTAAAAAAAGGGACACAGTGTTAAGTCACCTATAGGAAAGCTATTTAGATGATGCTTTTATTCAAAGTGATATACAATTGAAAACGGGGTTAGACCATCCCTGGGACAGCTGAGATTAAGGGCCTTGCTTAAGGGCCCATTGGTAACTGTATTCTGCCCACTTTGGGGTTTGAACTTGGGAGACCTTCCAACCACAGGCAACTAATCCTCAGCCACACACTGCCCATGAAAATGTTAAGCAAGGAAATGCGAATTCAGCAGAGCAAAGGGTTATGTTTTATACACAGCCATCAACACGAGGCCGCTCTCGTTGAGCTACAGAGACACCAGTATGAGTGCGTGTTTCTGTCAGAGAACAATCAGCTGGAGGTGTCCACTGCATAGTTCTTGGGCTCTTGAAACCAGTCTATTTTGTCTCTGTCTTGCACTAACAAACGAAAGAAAAACCAACTGCTCCAAATGTAACTGTTATGTCTGCACACCGGGGTCTTAGTGTTGTTCTGTGGTGATGCATTGTGTTAGAGAATGTGCTGCAATCATTATGTAATGCCGATTGGATTGGTGGTGTCGGTGGAGTGGTAGAGTATGAAAAAGGAGAATAAAAGAAAAAAGCCATATAGTGTGGTCACCACAGTGTTCCTGTGTGACCCTTTGAAATATGAGTGACATTTCATTACTTGCTGACTGGAGCTTGCAGTTACTTTGTCTTACGTACATCAATACTGCAGAACCTCACACGTGTGGAAATAATAGCAGAAACAGGACAATGAAACTGAAACTCAGGCCAAAATAGTACTTGAAGTTTCACACCTATATATCAATGGCCTGGTGGCCAGTCTTCGCTGAATGCACATTCTATCAGTAAGAGCAGAGTGTGAAGCCTGAATTAGCAGGGCAATAGCACAGCTGTACATGAAATACTGCAATCCACACAACATAATGGGAGACGTATGAGAGTTCAAAAGAGGACAGATTGTTGGTGCGCGTCTCGCTGGCGCATCTGTGACCAGGACAGCAAGTCTTAGTGGTGCATCGAGGGCCTGGGGATCGTCCTTCTGAGTGGTTCATTCTGCCATGTATGCGGGCGGCTCGGGCACGGGAGCGAGGGAGCGAGGGAGCGAGGCATCAGGCACAAAAAGGGTGGACGACCCACTGGCAGCTCCAAGAACAAAAGGGGTTTATTAAATAAAACAGAAAACACTACGAACACAAAAGGACCACGAGGGGTCAAAACTAAAGGGGATAATTAAAGACTTAATATTACAAAACAAAAACTAGGACGGAAAACAGGATGCAGATCTAACCGAAATAACCAAGACAAGTAACAATACACTCATAGACAATGAACCACTGGGGAACTGAACAGAAGCAAGAACTAAAATACTAAAGGGGTAACGAGACTAACACAGGACAGGTGAGACTAATTAACAAAGACCAGGGAAACAGGGCACAAGTGAAACTAATAAACTCAAAGGAACTAAAAACAGGGAAACTAAGAACTAACCAAGGAAACATAAACCAACACTAGGGAATTAAACAGGTAAAGACAAGCAGGGGCACAAGGAACAAAACCAAAAACCAAACACAAAAACCACCAGATACAATAACTAGAAACACTAAGGAGCAACATACAGTACAAAAACAGGAGGCAGGATTCAAACACAGGACAGAAGGGTACCCAGGACAGAAGGGTACACAGACAACCACATGCTCAACACATTGAGCCACATGACCAGACAGGTAACAGAGGAGAACAAAGACTAACATGAAGAACGGGATGACCAGCACCACCTGCTGGTCAAACGGGGAAGGGACACGGAAGGACCACAGGGGCTGACCCTGACACTGTTGTGAACCCAGAGTGCAGCACAGGGGTGGATCAGTGATGGTTTGGGCTCCAACATAATGGCATTCCCCAGGCTCAGTACTTGATCTAGTTAGGAACGTCACAACCAAGTACTTCCAAACCATTCTGGAGGACTATGCTCACCCAGTGGTTCAAATATTATACCCTGGAGGTGGTGTAGTGTATCTGGATGACAATGCACCAATACACACAGCAAGACTGGTGACAGAGTGATCTGATGAGCATGAAAGTGAAGTTTACCATCTCCCACGGCCTGCACAGTCACCAGATCTAAAAATTGTGGAGCCAATTTGGGATGTTTTGGAGGAGCGAGTCAGGAAACATTTTCCTCAAGCAGCATCATGTAGTAACCTGGCCACTGTTTTGCAAGAGAAATGGTTCAAAATCCCTCTGGCCCCTGTGCAGGATATGTATCTGTCATTCCCAAGACGAGCTGATGCTGTATTGGCTGCAAGCAGAGTCCCTACAATATACTAATAAATTATTCTCTTCCTTGTCCAACCCCTGTATGTATGGAATAATTGTACTCTCAAAGGTGGTTCCAGTTCTAAAATATACATTGATTTCTTAGATAACTAAACTGGATGGTGATGCATTTGGTTTCTCCAGAATATTTTAGGTTTTCAGTCTTGAAAAAAAGGCTACTGATTCAGGAAATACCTGCAAGAGAGTTGCATCCCCCCTCCCAACTCTAAGTACTCCAATCTCAAGATTCAGCCATACCAGGCACTTTAAGGGGCTGTTACAAGGAGGACAGTGCTTGCTAGGCTTCCAGACTGGCTGACAGCACTGAATATAGACTTCCTATTAAGGCATATTACTTACCAGACATCTTCAGCATCCTCATCACATTCAGCCCCATAACTGCACTCTCCACACTTAGTAAATTTCTTGCTTGTATCTGCCCCTGATCCATCATACCCTGTAAGACAGCAGTAGTTGTTTAAATTATATCTCATAGATACATATGATCCTATTCTTTCAACTGAAGTGCATAGCAACAAAAAAAAAAACCTGCTGAAGACATGTAATACCACATTTGTGACAACAAATTCAGTTTTAACAATCCTTGGGTGTAAGAACTTATAGGGAAATTTAAGTCGAAATTTGAACACGTTGCTGGGAAACAGAACAGTAGGAACTTTCCAGAACATGGAACAAACTGCAATTAAAAACCAGACCGAGGTCAAGCAGCACTTCAGGTAATGAAAGCCAGGTGACCCGACTAGGCTGCCACCCTCGCTGGGTTCCGCAAGCAGTCAGCTGGGCTGATTTAAAAGGCGGTAAGAGGCGCCTCTGATAGGCCGAGTCACAGATATGAGCTGCGTTTTAAGTGGTTTTGCTGATTGAGTCTGCTTTGTTTAAAAGGGTAATATCTCAATTTTGGTTTTTCTTTTAGGAATAATACAGTCCTATTGTTTGCTTCCGCCTGACAATTCCAACCCCCAGACCCCCCTTCCCAGAGACCCCCCACCCAACAACCAGTCCATGTCAAAACTCATGGACAAAACAATTATAAAACCTCCACCACAGCACACCACTTGGTATTAATATAGCATACATTATTTTACATAACTCTTAATATAATGTATAAAGCTCGTCATATAACTTCATATAATATTATAACTGAAATGAATAAACAATACATCTGCGTTGATTTGGCAAAGGTTCCTGTTGATTAGACGCTAAGGATACGCACAGGACATGCCGACCCCTGTAGGATCGCAGTTCTCTCTATGAATAAACATGCTGAAAGCAGTGTGCCACTCCCCGGCTGTGCCTCAGATTGTAATAATAGTATTGGCTAGCGTGACAGCTTGTCTCATTACCAGCTCTGTCCAAACACACCCGTGTACCCCGGCTCTCCCCGCGACCAGCGGCCAACCTCACAGTGCTAATGCAAACCGCGCAGCTTAATGACGGCGCTCCCGTGGCTCTCAGCGCTCAGGTAGGGAGCGAAATTCACCAGCTTTCAGCCTCTGAGACCTGTTCAATAATCTCGGGTTCCCTTACTCCTCACAAGTGCTGCTATGGCAAATTCCAAGAGATTAACTGGAAGACGAAGGCTTTGCAACCAATTGTTTTTAAAGATCTTAACGGCAGTTAAAGAAATTACTTGCATCACAAAGAAACCATCATCAAATTCATTACTTATTGTGGGTTTATCTGAATCTTTTTGAGTTTTCAACTATCAATTTTCAACAAGCAGCTTTGTTAACAATTTTGCAAGCTTTGTCTTTTTCATCAATGTCATATTCAAACTGAAAAACAACCTTAAGACTGATACTATTGATTTTTAAACCTGCCAGTGTATCAGAGAATTATGTAGGCCTGTAATCACCCTCTCTATATTTGACTTCTCAGATCACAACATGAATTGCCAGTGTGAATTAACAAAGCTTAAAAGCGAAGATGCAAGGACTTCACGTTTCATGCTGCTTCAGGTCAGCCTTAATCATTACATCCAAACATACGAAGCAGAACGTACCTCTGTCTCCCGATCCAGAGCCATTATCTGCATATGAAAAAAGAAGCACATAATGATCAGCCTCGCAATACAAACTGAATTGCTTCTGTTCTACTTCGTTGGAAATATCACACTTCTGAGACCCCTAATGCTCCACGGGCCAGATATAAATATCTGGGGTCAGCACTAATGATCAGCAGCTCGGGGCGTTTTCATTTCAGGTTACAGACTCACTCCACAAGGTTTCTCATGTATAACAAGAGGGGTGGAATGCCATTTATACTGATACATTATAAATAAACTAAATTCATTCTAGTGCATGGCCTGCACACCGACATTTTATAAATAAAATAAAGATTTTACTATGAATGCCCTGTACCTAACATATTATGAATAGTATAGACAATAGTATAGAATAGCACATTCTGTATCCAAACATATTATACATGTTATTAATTCCTATGCAGGACTGGAGCGAAAACCAGTATTTTATATTTATGCATCATATGAAAACTACAAGCATAGTTTAAATGAAACACAAATTGGAAATGTTCTTTTATGTACTCGTCTTGTACTCAAAGCCAGGCTTAAGATTTTACAACCTCATCTTCAACTGCTAAACATAAAGACCTTTCTAGCTTAAATAAGAGCTTTACAAAGTCAGTGTTCATGTTAAATGGCTTCTAGCATACAGCCGAGAGAATCCCATTCATGGTGTGCCAGTCCACCACAGGACATTCACATGAAAAGGGCAATTTGGAGACTTAAGTTCACATTAAACAGCATGTCTTTTGTAGAGTTGAGAGTCAAACTAACTACCCTGGCAGTGTGACTAAAAAAAAAAACTGCTCACTGAATCACTTGCAGTGAACATGAACTCTGTGTTAGGGAGGAGATGGAATGAGGAACATTCCTGAAACAGTACAGATGGACAGAATTTAAGAACTGCACAGAATCTAAAGTCTCAGTGCTCCAATAAACCCTGGCCATTGTTGACCTGCTTAGCCTGTTAAGCCAAAGATGTTTTAAAATGCTATCCTGCCTCAGAGTTTTGTGAGAGTTACTAATATTTTGCAACACCAAAAAAGATTAGACTCCCTGTAACCATGTTAATTTACTGGGAGGGTGCCCCAAGAAAAAAAAAGCTTGTGGGAGTTTTACTTACACAAATATGTTCCGAGGATCAAATGAAAAATGATTGGTTCAGAGAGACAGCCAATCAGATTGTAGAGGAGGTGAGTCCAAGCAACTAGAGGAGGTGGGACCAACCAATCAGATGACTTGGTCCTGCCTCCTCTAGTTGCTTGGACTGACTTCTTCCAGAATCTGATTGGTTATCTCTGTAAGACAATCATTTTTTGTTCTACCCTCAGAACATTTTTGTGTAAGTAAAACTCCCATGAGCTAAGAAAAAGGACTTCATATTTTAAGAAACTAAATCACAAATACAGCTACAAAAGTGAGTCAAATTAGGTTTATTTATGAGAACGTGCTGTAAAAGAGGTCTGACACTCCATGGTTTGATTAGTGAGATTTCAGAGTAACCTGGGACAACAGAGTCCAAAGAAACGAGAGACTTGGTGCCAGAATTGCAGGTTCATAGGCCAGAGAAACTGATAAATTATTCAGTCAGTACATTTACATGCACAGCTAAGTCGAGCTACGGTTATAGTTTGAATACCCCATTTAATCGGACTAATGTCCTTGTCCCAGTATACATGCACGGGAAGGGAATCGATTAATTGATCGAAGCATGTCTGACTCGCTACAGTAGGTGGCGCTATGGCTCCTTTCAGCTTGTTAGTATTGGGCTTTGTCCGGTTGACCTATTATGCCACAGACGTAAAAAAAAATTATAAAATTAATAATAATGGGTACATGGACAAATGAAGTGACACAAGCTTTAATTGTGATCTGGTAGGAAGAACAGATACAAGAAGATCAAGATAGCATAACAAGAAATAAAGTATTTAGTACAATATACTATGATAGCACAGTATTGGAAAAATTTTCAAATATTGTAATGCGATTTTGTTGTAATAAATATTGGGGTATTTATGAAACAAAAAAGGAGTTCAACATAAATTTCTCACGTTCCCATGTACAAGTGATTTAAACAGCAATTAAAGATGAAAATGATTATGATTGTTTAACAGAACAAATGCAGCGTTCATGCAAAAGCAGCGAAGGTAAACAAATAATCATTAAAATTGCAAAACTAGCTAGGTTTTTTTTCCCCCTATGACAGAGTAAAAATGTTTTAGTGAGACTTAAACTCCCTGTGGTATAATATTCGAACCAAACTGAAGGTAAGAAGAAGCCTGATCTTAATCTAGCTGAGTAGTGATGTAAGAACTGGATGAGCATAACTTGCGATGTTGGTATTAATGTCGCACATTGTCCAGTCCTACTACAGACATTTTTCGAATTCAGTACAAAATACCCCGGCACGCGCTGTAATGTCATTCGGCACCAGTAACAGTTTTTACACCAGTGGAAAACCAACACCTTGAAGTACTGTACTTTTGGTACCTTCTTGAAGCACCAGAAGTACAGAACCTGGTACTGTGTGCCCTTTAGTAAATTGGACAGCTTTACAGTGCTGTATATTTTGTACGTGCTGTACATCCTCTGGTATGCTCTGTGCTTCTTAATCTGACTAAGAGAAATTCAATTCAGTACAATTTCAGTCGGGCTAAATGTTTACATGTACTTTAAAAGTCCGGTTTTAGTAATTAACACAATAATACATTTTTCTTAGTATCCATGTAAACGTAGTTAGTGTGTCAAAAAGAACAGTTTCTAAGAGCATGGCGGCATGTGCCAAATGTGGACACACTCTATCCTTAAAGGGGAGCAATGATCGCAATTCGATTCTTACAGACAGGGATAGACAGGCATTTAACAGGATATCGGCCACAAAAGCAATTGCCTCAAAAATTGCCACAGAATGTAATCAGAATATCTTTGATCCAGTCTCAGAGGGAGAAAAAAAATATTTTGTGAGCTTTGCAAAGCTGGAACTTATGGCAGGGCCAGAGAAGACTTACATCCGGGATTGATGAATAGATACAAAACCTAGTGTAATGAGCACCAAAGCTGGACCGCTAGCAAATGGGAGAAAGTAATTGAGTTTGATGAGTCATATTTCACCCTTTTTCCTACATCCAGAAGGGTTTATGTTTGGCGAAAGTCAACGGATAGTTTCAAGCCATGTCTGTTGTCAGCTTGTAAACATGATTTGGGCATTATAATAGTATGGGCGGCCATCTTGAGGGAGTCGTTAGGGACTATGATTGTGCTGCAAGGATGTATAACGGCCAAGAAATATTAGGCCATTTTACTGGATCAGGTGGCCCTAAAGGTATGTGCACCATTCCCTCGTAATGTCATCGTATTCCAAGATTGTAATGCCCCTATACACACTGCTAAATTACTGAACATTACTGAGCCTTTATGGGAAGTTCTGCAGCACAGAGAGTTCAAAGTAGATTTCCAACACCTTCATCCCTCAAAGGAACAGACTTTTCTTCTTGAAGAATGGTCCAATACCCTGTTACACACAGTTTAGAACCTTTCTTATTAATATCAGCATTCCAAGAAAGATTTACAGTTGTAGTGAAGGCAATGCATTAGATCCTTGTTATTAATATATTGTTAAATGCTTGTGTTCCCTTGTCCACCTCCCTTAGATGTCACAGAAATATGTCTTATTTGACACAGATAACACAAATAGCAAAACCAGAATACCTGATGGTGCCTAATTGTCATACTCACCATGGTAACACGACCCCTTTGAAACTTGGGTGATATGTTTCTGTTGCTTACAGGTCGCTTGTCTTAAATAACACTCATTCCGGTAGGTATCTCCATCAGACCCACACACTGGTCTATAGCGTTTGAGGCACTAAAAAACAAGACATAAAATAAAGGCATATAAATTGTAACTTATGAGGATGGCTATTTCACCCATCACAAGAGCATTCAAGTTTTTCTGTCATCTGTCTGAAGATCCGTACAGTTCTTTAAATGGTCATCATCATTTTTTCATATCAACAGTCATTGAGTCCTTGGTTGGCAAGACAATGTGAAGAAGATAATATGGTCCCCTTGAGATCTACTAAGGAAGATTTGCTTCTATAATGCCAGTGGCCTCCTGGCATCCATATACATGCTCAGCTGTCACATTGAATGCCATTTAACATGTTTCAAAGCATACAATCCATCTATACAGCGATTGACATAACTGGTGTAATGTATAAAGCAAAATGCACTGCGTTTCTTTTTGTAACATTGTAAATACAGTACATACTTATTTTATGTACTGTATATAAATAAGACTTTCTTAGTGTACCAATCTGATTTGTAGGCTAAAGGGGACGTTAAGGAATTCAATACAGAACAAACAAAACCTTCACAAAGTAAACACAAAAGAACCAATAAAAGGATCTGACTTGAACAAAAGTGAAAAAAGCTTCTTACCTGAAACGAGCAGATACACCTCAAATCATCGCTGCAGGTTCCACCATATCGACATGTGGAATCGTCACAAACTCGGAGATCACTCTTCTTCTCTGAGAAGTCTACAAGAAACGTAAAAGATGGATGGGTGGATGGATGGGTGTGTGTGTGTGTGTAAACTAGTAGCCAAAATTGTGAAAACACCTAGCATTTTTGCTATTACACTATAAAACTTACTACATGAATATTGGAGGTAATGTTTATAAACAATCAAAGAATCTTTACAAATATCATACATTGGATGACTAAATAAGTAACTGTAACAACTGGAAAAAAAGTTCTGTAAAATCATAAAAAAATTGGAAGTGTTTCCACAATTTACATATAATTAAAAAAATTTGTTTTAAATTGCTGTAATAATACACAGCAATATAAAAAGTTAGAATTCAGTGGACTCATACAAATTATTATTTCAAAATGAAACATGAATTTGTTATTCATAAAGGCTGACTTGCTGCTTCGTACACCTGCTATCATTTAGAAGTATCAATAACTTTGACTTTGCTTGTGCGTCTATAACTTAAAAGGAGCGTAAATATCAACCTGCAAAGAAAACCCTGTTACCTTATATTTACATTTGATCTTTGCTTTATTTTCAGAGACAGTCTTATATGTTATATACAGTAGGAGGTGTCTTGCAGGGCTGGGGAGCTTTTCACTGCAGGCTTTCAAGCTTTATATTGTTTGAAAATATTATGTCTGATTAATGTGCACTTTTAGTTATAAGTGCTTGTATGATCATTCTTAATATTAATAAAATATGACATAAAATAAAATTCTCCAATCTCCATTTTCCTCCCACACAATACAACTGTAATTCACTGATGAAAATACACATCATCATCATCATCATCATCATCATCATCATACAACAATATTAAACAAAAATATTATCCATCAGCACAGAATGCCTTTATATATTTTGGATGTTATTAACAATAATTTTGAACCCTCAAATATATTGACACAAAACATATCATGTTTCACGTAAAAAAATGTTTTTCCAGCCAGATGGAACATTCACTAGTTGCAACATGCACTCGTTTGTTAGAGAGAGTGAAATAAGCAATCATGGTCTATCCTGTCCTGCCTGACTGAGCATTATTTCCTAAAAGTCTTACTCTTTTCTTCCCTACTGTATGATGGTACGTTCCAAAGGTGTTTTTCTTCATACTGTAAAGTGACCCAAACCGGGACACTAGGCAGAATCTGACAGAGGATTCTGTTAAGAAAATTGTAAAAAGCCTACAAAACAGATTTGTTGTTCAGCCATCTCAGTTTATACAGGAAAAATATGCATAATTGATATCTAGAATACACACAATCTGTCACAAACAGACACAGGATCCAAATGCAGAGTACACAGGGGTTTAACAGAAAGACACAGACCACAATCCAAAAACAGTGAAAACCCAGGAAGAAGGATCTGAGACAGGAAGTCAGAGTATCAGGGAAAATCACAGGCATAATACATCCAGCCATTGTCTGCACCCACTTGTCTGATTCAGGGTTCCAGGGTTCCGGAGAAGCTACAGGTGCAAGGCAGGGAATAGCCCAGGATACGGCACCGACCCATCACAGGGTAAACACTCACACAAATGGGCCATTTGTAACTAGGATGGTATGGTGACCACTGGGACCACGGTGTGAGTTTCTGCCATGGTTCCATATGTGTGGAGTTTGCATGTTCTTCCTGTATCATCATGAGGTTTCCTCTGGGTTCTCCGGTTTCCCCCCACAGTCCAAACTCCACACACAGGGCCAGGGCAGAAACTTGAACCCTGATCCCAGAGGTGTGAGGCTAACCACAGCAAAACCATGCCACCCCCACACACATAGTGAAGAGAGAGAAACAGGTCAATGAGGACATAAGGCAGGGAACAACCCAGGATGGGGCTTATACACACACACACACACACACACACACGCACACACATTGGACCTAGCTTTGAAAATTAAGGTGAGGCTGAGAGCTGGAAAACAAGGCACAGCACTTTGGAATTTCAAGAACGGACGATGGAACTGGAGTTAGTTACCCTGGTAAAGCCCTGCTTTACCATCCCATAATCAATAGAAAATATTCCCTTCCCTGATGCTCTGAGCTGTTTCTAATCACAGATAGAGACAGATCCAAGGAACGTGGTGGAAGTGAAGCATCTGCCATGCAGCCGTGGACGAGGCCCTGAGACTCAAAGCGAGATGGTCACCATGACAGAACGCAGAATGTGCCACGGCCAGGGAGACTCTGAGCCCCGGCTCTTTGCAGACCGAGATGAATCAGGAATAAATGTTTCCTTTCAAGTGCTGCAGCTCTTCCCATCCTCGCCGAGACCATAATACCCAACCCCTCCCCCATGCATTAAGCAGGGGCATATCTGCCAAGGGCCAAATATTTACTGTGGGGGTTAACTAACTGCATCTACAAGGTGCCCTCTGCTGCCTGGGATTAGATCCAAGCCCCCCCAGTAACTGTACTCTAGATAAGTGGTTGGAAGATGGATGGATAGATGGATAGATGCATTGATGGATGGTTACTAGTAAATTTCATATCATAGCTTATCATATCATAGATACTCTCTACAAACTTCTTTTGTCCTGTCCAGACAAGTAAGTGCGTCCATCCTCCATAACAGTAAAATTTTATTACTATGATAGTATGACATTGCACTAAACGAGGTGATTAAACTGCTGCTTGTATATAAATAATTAAAAAATCTGCATGGATGTTTTCTGCCATCGATTATGCATGTTGTATATTGATGATCCAAAATGTTATTTATTCTTTCAATATAATTTTCAATTTGATCTAATGCGTAAATAGGTTAAATGGATCAAAAGTTTACATGTAATGGATGGTAATTGCTATTGCATCTGAGTAATATGAAAATAAAACTTCACTGCATAACTGGAAGCGTGATTCATTTCAAACGGAAGTGCCTGCTAAGTAACTTCATTATGATAATGTTAAAATATTTCTATCCACTTTCCGTAACGAATTCTTCAGTGCAAGGTTGCATCCAGCCTATCCCATCATGCACTAGGCATAAGGCAGTTGAAAATCTAAACAAGATGCCACACCATCACACTAAAGAAAATTTTATAGGCAGAAATGCACTTAAACTACATGTTTTCTGACTTTGAATGCAAATTCTGTGCCCTCAAAGGCAGGATTCAGTGGCAGAATTCAAACCCTCATGCCGGAAGGTATGAGGCCACAATGTTATTCAGCGAGTATTAAAGTTATAATAACACAAGGGTACCCTTGGTCTCCACAGACAACTTTTTTTTCAGCTACCGTTATGAAAGCCTTGCATTTCCCTTGAAATATTTTAAAATTGTAATTTACCAGTCGATAGTAGAATAAATAGGCAAGCATTCCAAACAACATACCAACTCATCTCTGGCATCTAACCTGTAATCAGAAGGTCACCCACTCAAATCCCATGTTTGGCAGAGTGATGTCACCATCGGGCCCTTGGGCAAGACCCTTAACCCCAATTGCTCCAGGAACCAAACAACCCTGCTTTATGAAATGTGTGCAGCTCTGAATGAAGTTGCCTACTAAATAAAAAAAATGTAACTGCAAAAACATCAAAGCACATATGCAGTCCTCAAAAATTCACTTGCACTCCCCGTCTAAACCTGCTGGACGAATCACCTTGCAGTTTGAAATGTAATTTCGTGCTTTTTAAATTTTAACGCATTACTGTATGACTGGTGCAGTAATGAGATTTGTGGTTCTTAGTTTGAGTGACCCAGTACTGCAGCAATCCAACTTAATGAAAACAAAATGCACATGAAAAGAATCCTGTTTGGTGACAGTGCAATTTACTTTTTACTTTTTACATTTAGATCAGTACAGATTATTCCTGCAAAATGTGCTGCTCAATATGAGAGAGATGGAAGAGAAAAGAAAAGAATATATTTAAATGCTGCCTTAAGCACATAAAATGGAGACAGTACGTGGGTTGCATTTACTGCACTGAAAAAATGTCTGCTTCTACTGAATAAGAAATGTATATACTTTGTAATTTTCTATAACTCCTATTTGGTATTTGTATATATAACATATAAAGTCTCTTCCAGAAACCATGCTGGATGTAAGGCTTTGGTCCCAAACTCTATATCAAGGCAAAATATCAAATATTTGGGCAATTCACACCTACCAGGACTATTAAGAGTAAATAATTGTGTCTCTGTAGATTTTGAGCTTCCAAAAATTCTACAGCATTAGAACAGAATTGAGAATTAAAATTAGAATGAAAATAGAAAAAAATCCTGTTCTCCTTTAAAAGCATGTTATAAACGTTTTAAAAAGGAAGGTGAGGCCCCGGCATCAGGTGAGGTATTGGAATGCTCCTTTGCTCCTTTGAAACATGAAGCTAAAATTCCATCATTTATTTGAGACACAAAGGGCACCGTGCTCAGACGTGATTCGATTTATTCCTTCAAACCGATAGCAACTTTATCTTAAGGAGCGATAAAGAGGCTTAGATCCAATGCATAACACAGACACACCAAAGATATGAGTTTAATTCATTGCTCAACTTGAAGGTGCAAGGTGGAATTTTTTGTCAAAGATTATTACAATACAAAATGCTTCACCTGGTAATACTGTCTTTTCAAGCATCAGGCAAGCCATTTTCTTTATAAACTGCGAAAGGTATCGGGTATTCCGCAGCACACTGCCACAATCTAACGGAAAACTTAGGAAACTCATATCGCAAAAATAAAGCAATAGCAAAGCAAGTAATATGAAACCGTGTCCAAACCTAGATTTGTCTTAAGTAGTAATAGAATGTATTTCAAGCTATTTATCTGCCTAGTAAGTATATCATTGTATAGAGAAGAGCAGCATTTAAAATTAGAATATATGTAAATGAGCAGTAACAAAATATAGAGAATTTCTTCTCCAAAAAATCACTGACAGCTTGTTGGATGGCTAGATGAACACTGCTTCAGTTCCCAAACCTCTCCTCAGGGGCACCCCAGCCAAATATCACCACCAGCTAAGTTAATTGACTAAATTAGTCAAATTACTTGATGAAGTATTGATTAGCCATACTTGGTATGCTTGTGGTCATCAAACATATGCGTATACTGGATGGTTACTGGAAATACTGGGGTGATAGTAGGAGGGGTTAACATACATTGAGAGACATACACTACAGTATATGGACAAAATTATTGGACACCTGGCCAGTATACCTACAGGAACTTTTATGACATCTCATTCTAAATCCATAGGCATCAATATGGAGTCAGTCCCCCCAGCTGACACTCTTATGGGGAGGCTTTCCACAGTGTCTGGGAATTTTTGCCGATTCATCCAGATGAGCATTTGTGAGGTCAGCCACTGATGTTCGATGTAAAGGCCTGGTTTACAATCTCTGTTCTAGTTCATCCCAAAGGTGCCCAATGGGGTTGAGATCAGAGATCAATACAGGCTAGACAAGTTCTTCCACACCAAACTCACCCAACCATGTCTTGATGAACCTTGATTTGTGCGCTGGGACACAATCATGCTGGAACAGAAGAGGTTCTTCCCCAAACTGTTCCTAAAAGGTTAGAAGCATAGAATTCTCCAAATATATATTGGTATTCTGAAGCATTAAGTGCTCCCTTCACTGGGACTAGGGGCCTAGCCAAACCCCTGAGAAACAACCCTATAACATTATCCCTCCTCTAGCAATCCCTGCAGTCAGGCCCGTAATGTTTCCTGGCATCCTACAAACCCAGAGTCGTCCATCAGAATGCCAGACAGAGAAACGTGATTCGTCACTCCACAGAACCTGATTCCACTGCTCCAGAGTCCAGTGGCAGTGTGCTGTACATCACTGCATCTAACTCTTGGTGCTACACTTGGTGATGTGAGGCTTGCATATGGCTGCTTGGCCATAGAAGCCCACTCTATGAAGTTTGCGGCACACAGTTTTTATGCTGGGGTTAATGCCAGAGAAAGTGTGTAGTTATTGAGTCAACAGATCATTAACGACTTTTACGCACTATGCACCTCTGCAGTCAGTGACCCCGTTCTATTACTTTACGTGGTCTGCCACTTCATGGCTGAGTTTCTGTTATTCCTAAATGTTTCCACTTTGCAATAATACCTTACATTTGACTGTGGATTAACTAGCAGGGAAGAAATTTAACAAACTGATCTATTGCAATGGTGGCATCGAATAGCGCTTGAATTCACTGAGCTCTTCAGAATGATCCATCCTTTCACAAATGTTTGTAAACCTGACAGCATGGCAAGCTGCTGCATTTTATAAGCCTGTGGAAATGAAACTCCTGAATTCAATTATTAAGAGGTGTGCCCCAATACTTTTGTCCAAATACTGTATTATCAAAGATTTATACCAACATGAAGATAATTTAAACATGTTTCTTTGGCAGCATAAGACACAGTACAGTATATATAATAATGTACCAAAGTCTTAGGAAAAGAAAATGATATTTAAACGATCTTCATGTTGGTGTAAAACTACGAGGCCATGTCTAGATCAGCTTAGCCATTTGAAAACCTCTCCTAAAGTCACCCCAGTATTTTCAGCAACCATCCAAAACATCCATGTATTTTTTCCTGGAACCTCTGGCATCTATCTTGTTTGGCCAATCAATACCTCATTGAGTTGTTTAACAAATAAAGTTAATTAATTAATTGAGCTGGTGGTGAAATTTACAAACACATGGATTGTCTGGAGTGCCCAAAGTGATGTTCCTCTACCCATCCAACAAGAAATAAGTAACTTATGAGAGACAGAAGAAATTCTAGTTTATTTTTCATTATGTTACTCTTCATTTGCAAATGGTTATTGTTAGTTTTATTTTTCTTCTGATCGAATATACACTTGCTGCCAAGATGAATAGCCTTAAATATTTTCATTGACTGCTGAAGACATTTGCACCATACTGTATAGATACACTGAACGGCCACTTTATTAGGAACACTATTCAAATACTGGCCACTGGAAATGGGTAATTTGTGACTGTAAAGGGATGCAGAATGGTCATCGAGATTCATCAAATAAGGCAACATTTTTCCAATATTAGGCTGCCCAGTGCCAACAGTTCCAAAGCCTCAGCTTCCTGTTCTTAGCTGACAGGAGTGGAATCCAATGTAGTCTTCTGCTGTTGTAGCTCATACAACTCAAGGTTTGACAGGTTGTGCAATAAGAGATGCTTTTCTGCTCACTGCTGTTGTAAAGAGTGTTTTTTTGAGTTACTGTGTCCTTCCTGTCAGCTCAAACTAGTGTGGTCATGACGACCTCTCTCATCAACAAGGTGTTTCCACCCACAGAACGGCCGCTCGCGGGAAGTTGTTTGTTTTTCACACCATTCAATGTAAACTAGAGAGTGCTGTGTGTGAAAATCCCAGGAGATCAGCGATTTCAGAAATATTCATACAGCCCGTCTGGCATGAGCAACCATGTCACAGTTATAAGTCACTTAGATGTTTTCTCCATTTTGATGCTTGATCTGACCATTATCTGAAGTTCTTGATCTATACCTGCATGATTATGTTGAGCTGCTGCCACCTGATTGACGGAATAGATATATATGAGCAGGTATTCAGGTGCTTGCAAAAAAAGAAATAATAATAATAATAATAATAATTATTATTATTATTATTATATACAAGGATATGTATGGAAGTGTAGTAGACATGTTTTGCAATATGGTTTTATATTGTGCAATATTCCTGCAGAAAACAGCAATCAGTTAGATTTGTTAGCTTTATCACACAGTTCATTATGAAGCCACGGATGTTCATTCCCCTGGGGGGCTGGTTTGATAATGAGGCAGACTCACGGAGCACCTTCCGGAATGGCAGAGATAGTGCATGCTGAACTCCAGCACAGACTACCCAGGGACAATAGGGAAA